CGATAAAATCAAGATTAATGAGAGCACTACTGAATGGGGGCAGAGTGGAGGCGGGGGAGTGGGGTAGAGAGACAATGTGGCAGCAATAAGCGCCACTCACACTACACACGATCCGGGGCCAAACCTCAGAGCACATCGCCACAAGCCAACCAAACTTTTCACAGCTGCCGCTCAATTAGTATGGGTCTCATCCAAAAGGAAAATACATAGACCTGTACGTAGATCACCCTTATATGTGCTTGTAGAGACCAAATTCAATACAAGTGGCTCATAGTTGGTCTAAGGTGGCAGAAGAAAGCATTTCTGCAAATATAGTAAACATTTCAAAAATGAGACTTTTGCCAAGGCTTACTGACAGCTAACGGAACAATACATGGCAACATTTGATTTTCTCAAAAATCTCAGAATCTAAAACTTCCACAAAAATGGCAATTCACAAAAGAAAACACAATAGATTCATAAATAACCTGAAACATCATATATTTGCAATACAAAACATGAGCAAAGGCTCAAATAAGCTTCCGCGTGAAAGCCATGAGCTTATTCCTAATTTTTTAATGCAACTTCCTTTGGCCTTTTTATTTTGTTAATTGCCTAGATGGTTTTCCTTTATAGTATGCTTGAAAGTTTCAGCAGATTTAAGTGCTCGACAAGCTCTGTCAATAGCAGCCCAAAAAAATGCAGCAGTATACTCCCTCTTACTCGTAACGCGCCTGAGTGTTTTGTTTAGCTGAATGGGTAAGACGTTTCCATATTTGACTGGAGATCTTCCTACCCTCTGTTCTTAGATCACAATTTAACCGTATATTAGCGCTGCTGCTAGAATTTGTGGGAGTAATTGTTGTGGCACTCAAGTCCAAATGATTATATAAATGTCTGAACAATTCCAGCAATGTATGGAAATCGTAGATGTTTCACTCTATCAAAAGCAGCTCGAACAATTGGAAAAGCATGCTTCCCTGCCGACAGACCTCCAAATGGTACTACGATATTTAGTGGACGTTGCGTGCGCGGCGCATCCCGGAAGGATTGATGGGTGCCCACACTTCGAGCTTTGCGAAAACTGATACACTTACATGTAAAAGATTCCGATCTCCTCCCGAATTTAACTCTTTCCTTCTTCCCCTTATTTTGATATCCAACTTTCTCAGTGAATGCTGACCGGCAAATTGAATACAGAGCGGTTTCGTTTCCTATTTAGCTTCCAACTCGACCATTTCGTTCCTCCGATTCGATGCACTGCTGAGCTTGAACCCTTCAACTTATTGTAGTAGCTAGAGCCCCTTGCCATTTCAATTACTCCTTTTTGACTGGTTATTAATGGGCCACAGTAGAAAACAACCCATGGCAAGCTTG